CTGCCTGAGCGCGTTAAACAAGTAGGTTTGATACTCAGTTTTTCTTCCATGTCTGTTGAAGTGGTGGTTGCTGGACGGGGTTGGTTCAATGAAATAGTATGTTCTTTGTCGTCTTGTGCTTCGTAGAAAGCAGGCTTTATTCTATCGATAGCGATAGTCTCTTTCTTTCCACACTTGTTGATTATGAAGTGTTTGTTCGTTCTTTTAATTACTTGATATGGTCCTTCATAAGGTTGTTTCAATGGCTTTTTAACAGCATCAACTCGAACAAAGACAGACTTGCATGTTTCTAGATTTCTGTTGAGTTGTATTCGATTGTTATGTTCACGAGGCGGTATAGCTTTGATTCGTTGCATGGTTTGCAGCAGTTGGCTAGCAAAACGACTTGGGTCCGTTGGTGTTAAAGTGTTTGGGTCCACTAGTTGACCTGGTAATGTAAGGGTTGTACCATAAACTAGCTCAGCGGCTGTACAACCTATATCTTCCTTTATAGTTGAACGGATACCAAGGAGTACAAGTGGTAATGCGTCACTCCATTTTGTCGTATCATCTTGTGCCATCAGCGAGCTTTTCAATTGGCGGTGAAATCTTTCGACCAAGCCGTTAGCTGCTGGGTGGTAGGCTGTTGTTTTGATGTGGTTCACGCCCAGAAGTCTTGTGAATTCCTGAAATAAGATAGACTGAAACTGGGGACCACGATCGGTAGTGACGATAGAAGGTACTCCGTAATTTGCTATCCAACGGTCAAGGAATACGCCGGCTACTGTCTCTGCAGAAGTATCAGCAATAGGGCATGCTATGGCCCATCTTGTGAACCTGTCCACCGCAGTGAGAATATGAGTGAATGAATTAGATGGTGGCAATGGACCAACTATGTCTAAGTGGATATGCTGAAAACGTTTTTCCGGCAGGGGATACTTGCCAACTGGACTGATCGTGTGCTTCTGAATCTTGCTGCGTTGACATTGTAGGCAGCTTCACGTCCATCGTTTTATATCTGAATTGATTTTTGGCCACACAAAACGCTCAGTAACCAATTTGATTGTGGCTCTGATTCCTGGGTGAAAAAGGTCATGCAGTTGACGAAATACCTGTCGACGACATGCTAGAGGTACGAAAGGGCGATTGTTACCCGTTGAAACATCGCAAATGATAGATGTATCTGAGAAAGGGATGGGTACTGGTTTAAGGTTCAAGTTAGACTTCTCCTGGCAGACCTTCAAATCTGCATCGTCTACTTGTAGTTTTGCGATGGTTTCTAGATCGATGTCTTGTTTACATAACAGGGTATTTACGTCCTTACGTGACAATGCGTCGGCTACGACGTTGGTGTGTCCTTTGACAAATTGGATATCTGTCGTAAACTGGGAGATGTAATCCAGTTGTCGTGCTTCGCGAGGTGAATGTCGGTCGTACGATGTGTGGAATGAGTAACATAAAGGTTTGTGATCGGTCATGATGGTAAAAGTTCGTCCTTGTAGTAAAAAGTTAAAGTGTTTAACGGCTAAGTAGATAGCAAGTAACTCCCGTCCAAAGGTACTATAGCGTTCCTGGGCTGGTGACAATCTTTTGGAGAAAAACGCTATGGGGGTAGTCATATTGTTTACCTGTTGTTGTAATACTGCCCCGACGGCTTTTTGAGATGCATCCGTACACAGAATTAAGTGGGTTGTGGGGTCAGTATTTATATATTGTAGCATGGTGGCATTAGCTATCATCGACTTTGCTTTCTCGAATGCTGTTTTGGCGTCAGGGGGTAGGTTGAATGTCTGACTCTTCTCTTTCTTCGTACCTTTTTTGTCGGTTTCCAACAGATCGGTTAATGGCTGTAATACTTCAGCACAATGTGGTAAGAAGCGGCGATAAAAATTACACATACCGAGGAAGCGTCGTTATGACTTCACCGAGGTTGGTTCGGGATAATTGGTAATAGCTTCAACCTTTTCTGGGAGTGGTTTGATGCCTTGAGAGTCAATGTAATGTCCTAAAAACTCTAAGGCTGGGACTGCGAATATGCATTTCGAAGGATTGATGACGACGCCATGTTTTTTAAAACGATCAAAAAGGGTCTGGACATGTTGGATATGCTCTTCTAAAGATGAGCTTGCAATGAGAACATCGTCGATGTAGGCAAATACGAAGTCTAAACCTCTTGTGACATCATCCATGAATCGCTGGAATGTCTGCGCAGCGTTTTTCAATCCGAATGGCATCCTTAGAAACTCAAACAAACCAAAAGGTGTTATTATGGCTGTTTTCTCAATGTCTTCCGGTGCCATTGGAATTTGATGGTATGCACGCACGAGGTCGAGTTTCGAGAAGATGCATTTACCATGTAAATTTAACGCGAATTCATGTATATGTGGAATAGGATACCTATCCGGGATGGTTTGGTTGTTTAATCATCGATAGTCACCACACGGACGCCAATCTTGGTCCTTCTTAGGTACCATGTGTAATGGCGAGGCCCAGGGGCTGTTGGATGGTCTGATAATTCCAAGTTGCATCATGTGTTCGAATTCTCTTTTCGCTACTTGCAACTTGCTTGGTGGTAATCTCCTCGCCCTGGCGCTAATAGGTGGTCCGGTGGTAGTGATATGGTGTTGTACCAGCTGTGGGTTACCTTCCTTTTGATAATCTGATTTCATAATGCACTGGTATTCTGTTAGAATGTCGTTGAAGATATTGTTCACAGGTTTCATTATACGAACACCATGGATCTCGTTGTCGTTGGAGAGTGTACAATTTACCTGTAAACGTGTGTTTATGTCGACTAATCTCTTGTTGGTCATATCAACTAAAAGGTTGTACGCACTAAGAAAATCGGCCCCGAGAATGGGTCGTTTGACTTCAGCAACTATGAATACCCATGTGAATCGGCTACGGAGCCCGAGATCTAATATAAGAGATTGTTCTCCATAAGTTTTGATAACTGATTCGTTAGCCGCTACCAAGGACAATTTTGTGCTTATCGTATGTTGTCTGCGTGAGAGATAGAGTGGGATGATGCTGATTTCTGCTCCCGTATCGACTAAAAAGTCTGAGCCAGAAATACGATCCCTGATGTGGAAAAGGCGGCTGACATGTTGGCCAGTAACAGCTGCCGCTATTACTGTCTGGCCACTTCGTTTCCCTGATGGTCTGGCTTGCTTGCCGTGAAGTTGCACGGTTTTGTGCAACGACGTGCTTTCTCGCCATAATTCGAATGATACCAATACATTCCAGCTGCCCGCTTAGGTGACCTATGACGATGTCTGGATAATGATCTCCTTCTGGACCTAGATCTGGGGCGTCGAGAGTGGATGGTGGCAATAGTCGCCTGTAGTGATGCTAGCTGCCGTGTTAAGTGTGACATTTGTTGCTGAATGTCAAGAGTAGGGTTCATAGCATCTCTACTAGCGGGTTGTACTGCGTAAATTCCCCGACTATCGGGATATATTTCTATCATCTTATCGGCCATGTCTGCTAAATCATCAAGACTGACAGAGGCTCCTGATACGCTGAGAATTTGTCTGACGCTATAAGGTAACCTTTGTGACCACATCTGCTTAAGTAATGCTTCGTCTAACTTGCATGAACCTGCTAGTTGTCTCATATGTCTAAGCAACTGTGAAGGTCTTTTGTCCCCTAACTCGCATGCGGTGAGTAGTTGCTGTAAGCGTTTTTCATCAGACTGCGAAGTACGGTGGATTACTGCGGCTTTTATTTTGTCATATGGGTCCGTTTCTGGTACGTTATCTATCAGGTCTCCGACTTCTGCTGCCACTTCTATGGGTAATGCTCCAACGATGTATGCATATTTTGTCGCTTGCGAGCGTATACCTCTCGACAAAAATAATGCCTCAACCTGTGCAAACCAGATCCTGGGATTATTAACACCGTACGTTGGTAATCTTAGTTCCGAGATAGCGTTGATTGAGTTTAAAACATTATCCTCTGGTTGTGGAGAGTTTAGAAGGTTGGTCGGTGAACTATCAATATCAATAAGTTTACCCAGAGAGTTCATAATGACAAAAACAAAAATATGGTGTCGTGCCGATTAATAATAATGAAAAAAATTATGTAGATATGTATATAGTAAATGTCTATAAAAAAAATAATCGAGGCTCACCAAATAATTGTGGTGGACCAAACAATATATAAGCGCAAAAGTATCAACAAAGTTAATAGCAATCAATAGTAATATTCATATTTACAAGTTAAATGTTACAAATGCAATAACAAATTAGGGACGTTACTTAAATCGGCTAGTCGTTGCGTGTTCTGTTGAGTTTTGGTCTCAAAAATCCACAATTATAAATGCGTAATAATTCCACAGAGGTAAATATGACGCCAATACGTTTCTTTGACGTAGGATATAATGGGAATGACACTGCAGTCTGAAATGAGGATAATATCCAGTTTAGAACGCAATTGACTTGGTAACGAGCGAGAATAGAACAATGGGTATGTGCGTAATAGTGTATTTGTGAACAAATGAAAATGTGTGTCACGCTATGTTCGAATTACAACGGAAAAAGGTGTTCAAGGTCATTGACTAAAACAACACGTACAGTCATTTAATGATAAATGTACATACAGTGAAAAATTGACAAAACAAATAGAAATAACATTGAAAACTATTTACAAAATAAGCTTGTCAGTCATATCTCCACACGACTATCGTACTCGATGTCGGCAGTTGGCTTCCTGTAAATGACTCCGACTAGACACCTCGAAGTACTAGACAATCTTGCAGAGCACCATATGGATTCTTCAAGATTGTTAAACTCGAGGTTGTGAACTTGATGCACCTCCAAGCAAGAGCTTATGTATATGGCTACTCCACCCCCAATTCCTGTTTTTCTGTCGTTGCGGTTACCTGACTATTCACACAAGGCTCATACAGATAAACAGGATGAGGAGGCTCACACGTTTATGATGGGAGTTATTGGTGATTCAATGCTGCTAGATATGGAAGCTCGTTAAGCTCGGTCCAAAATAATTTGAATTATTTGAACTTTCAAAGCGCGATGTATAAGTCCTGCGTTACTTTTGCGAGTAAGTGTCGCATGTGATAGGGTTTATTTACCAAGTATTTGAGAGGTCTTGCGAAACAAGCGTTTTGTCAGCGTGATACAGCTCAACGACGTGTTAGAGCCAGAACACACCTGATGACACGCTATTTCTCATTCTTTTCAAGATGATATTGCCACATACCCTCTGGAGTTATGAGTGGTATGTATTTCGTAAGTAATTTTTGCAATTGCTCTCAGATGTCCCTAATGAGTTCCACGAAACTCATGTCCTGTCGGTGACGAAATTTCTGATTCCTGAGTCTCAGTAGATTTAATTGTTCTGATGAGTTGAAGATCGCCCATGTCTTGGTTTTGTAACAATCTGTTTGAGACTCTTTAATCTCATTGACATTCACAAAAATCCTTGTCACGCAAAATGACGTAAAAGTGTCTCATGGGAGCTTCTAGGGGCTCGGGTGCTGTTAGCAGAATGGATGAGGAATAACTATCTGCACTTCGACGCGTTAAAACCCTAGGCTGCTTTTCCTTACTCATGAAAATCAACGGATTTTTTATATTTACAGACGCTGCCTATGGTGATTTGACGGTGTGTTTCCCAGAATTCCTGCTAGCACAAAACATCCATACTGTCGGAAACTCGAAGTGATCCACCTGGTCAATGGGTCATAGCAACTAGGTGGTGTCTCACTAAAAGATGTGTCATCATGTTTCTGATTATACTGTGTAGTTCAAACCATCTCAACTGATTATTTAAAAGTGATTGTCACCGCAGTGACCTATGGTTCATGTAACGAAAGGTCACTCTGCGAGAATCGGATACAACTCTTATTTATTTATTTATTTATTTGAACACATAAATCTTGGTACAAGAGGGTACCAAATATATATGTGCCACACAAAACAATGAGAATTCGAATAGAAGAAGGGAACAAAAAATGAAAGGTGAGGAGCGTTAAAAAAAGAACAACAGCGAACAGATTACTGTAAGGTAGCGTAATTATAATAATAATGGGGGAAACAGAAACGTACATTCAGAAGAGATCTTGCAGTTAAGGAAGAAGCAACCAGCGTTGGACACAACCCTAACCCCACATTTCCCCATTAGTGTATGTGGTGCATGTAAAGCCTTCGCTACTGACGTGACACAAGCAGCCTCCGTAGAGGGTGTTGAAAGAAGACTGGATTGTAATATACAGACTCACTAAATACCGTCTTTAATACGTTCTGAATTTTCTGTGTATATTGCAGTAAGGATTGCTCAACTAACCACACTATGCCATCAGTGGTCTGGAAAAGTCGCCTAATACCAATACACAAGCACAGAATCAGTTAGTTTGCGTCAACTAGTTGCTAAGTTAGTATGGTAATAAATCTATCAGTTGTTTGAAGTGCTGTTGATAGATTTCAGAACCAGCTAATAATTTTGCAATGTCAGTTGAATGTGACATGTGAATCCTAAATTACAAGTATTTGGGATTGATACTAAAAACTTCTTGATCTTTAATAGACGGACGCTTGTGATCGATATTTTTCAGTGGTATATATCCCTCTGTGCTACTAACTTAAGTCTTATGTAAACTTGTGTTCTTATTTTATTTGTCCCTGTTTCCACTGTAATTCTGACTTTTGTCATTAGTTCGTCACTGTTAGTACTCACAAGCTGTCTGTTACTAATCGGTTCCTTACCAGAGCGTTATTCTCAATGAAATGTTTGACATAGTTGTTCTTAAACTTTTCACTCCGTTAAAACTTATCACGGTGAGACTATAATTTGTGGACGACCTTTGTGTGACACCAGGCTGGCCTTGAGAGTGTCCACCTAATAACCAGGACCAAATAAGGGCTATAAACCTGTGTGAGGAAGTAGAATTATAACTTACAGTTGATGATTAGGGTTAGAAATTAGATTTAGGGTTTTAGTCACGAACTGATATTAGTTATAATGCCAAAACTCTATTTATCCGAATGAATGAGTGGATTTCGCGCCAAAACCCGAGACCTGTTATCTTATACGTGATTGGTTCGTTCATAAATTATAGTCTTGGCCTTATCACTTTCAACGTTTGCAGTTTAATCTCATCCAGTCAGTCAATCATACGAGAAGTAGAACCCGGCACATGCTTTTTAGTTCACGTTGCTACACCATATTATCACAGTGAGACGCCAGAGTAGTTTTGGTTGTAACAGTATTAGTGGTATTAGAAAAGATTCTTAATAGAAAATATGGATTCTAGGAATAAGAACAAAATTTTTGAAATTAAAAAAATTAATATCTGAAGAAAGACAAAGAGCGGATGCAACTGCAATATCGGGAAAGACTGAACTATCTCACCCAAGTCTCACCATTCATTACAGCAATCTCCCAGGTAGTCTGCATCTACCCACACAACCCAGTTCAGCAGTCAGTGACTAGATAGAGTAGTGCAACATTCTAGTTTTGGCGCCCCTGTCTTTCTTCTAACTTATTCATACATCAACTATCACTGCACTTCGAGGAAGGCAGTGGTTGAATGTACGTAGTACACGTTCCAAACAGAAGATAAAAATTCTCGAGTTCATTAATAAATTTTCTGGAATTACTTTGTGTCTCAACTCAATATTCTCCACTCAGTGGTCCCAGAATGCATGAGAAACGCTTAGAAGGCGTCTGTAATAGAGTACTAGTAACTTACAAATACCCCCTACTTCTGAAGAACATATTGCGCAACCACAAAGTAAAACAGATAATACTGTTGCGTGTTGTATTCCTCCTTTAGCTGACGAAAACCAACTAGACTTTCTGAATCTTTCCCGGAATTTTGTCAGATATCGACCCGTCAGGGCTAATGAAACTTCCAGAATAAGTGAGGTACTTGACACGCTCAATTACTTCGCTCCCTGTTTAAGGCATAATGAATAGCTTCCATCACCTAACCCAAGAAGTTTTTTCCATGTATGCTTATCTGAGGGCAATGGATGTAGGGATTTAGTTGGTTAGCGACTACAATACTTGGCTTTCAATTAGTTAGCTGGGGGGGGGGCGAACCCTATTCTACATACCGTGGTTTCAGAAGTCAAGAGGTATCATTAGCCTTCTTACTAGGTTATGAAATTATGCAGAATACGTAAAAAAGTATGTAGGAAACGTCACATTAACATTATTCATGAGTCCTATGCTATTGTTAACCAACCTTTGTTAGTTATTCGACGCTAAGTATTATTGAAGTGCTTCTAAAAATCCACTTGTCTGTTATACTATACATAGTATAGTAGGGGAGAATCAAACTCAGAGTAGTTTAATCTTAATATCCATCTATTTGCTTTTGTCTCTGACTGATTCCCGTCTTTTTGTACCATAAAATTAATAGAAGTTCGATGAAGTAATATTTTGTTTTCCCTAATAGTGAATTATTGTTTGGCATTCAAATTAACTTGGATACTATTCTATCATGTATATGCTCTGAAAGATGAATCTAACAATCTACTCAACGGTTCTTCAGTTAGTATCAGGAGAACTACTAACAGCCATGTTAATGTAAGTAGTATCAAACTTTAAATATTAAGCGACAAAATTATTAGTTGTCAATCCTTAAATCCAATTTACCTACATTGGATTATGTTTTCACATCTGTTAATGTTACACCGAAAGTAAGTAGTAGAAAAGTAAATATAAATTTGATTTGTCAGTCAAAGCTTACAACATCAAACGTCACCGTTATTTCCGAAGATATGTCGACTACCAAACTTTCGAATTCTACTAAGCAGTTGGATAAATTTTTATCAGAGAAAACTACAGAGGTTAGACGTATAACAACTGAAACGCATACTATCCAAGAGGAAGAAGTTGCTGAAATCGATGAGTTTGAAAAAAACAAATTAGGCGAAAGCTCCATCCATTCAGGCGATTCACATGCTGATCTAATACAAGAGCCACGAAGAAAAGATTCCGAAGATAGTGGGCCACAGATAGATCCCGGACAGTCTATATTTGACAGAAAGCATTCTACCGAATCTGAGTCTAAAAAATCCAATGGATTCATACATCAAGGCGACTCTGGTACTGTAGTTCACGATAAATTATGTAAGTCCATGTTTTTGTGTGTAAAATGAGGTAATAATGTATGAAACGTGAAATGTGTTATTATTTGATTTTGAAACTATCAACATTTATATGAGAATAATAGTGAACGTGGCTCACCGTTAGTCAGTTATTGCTTCGTGACATAATTTTGCAAGTATCGAAAATATTTGGCAAATGCATCATATAAATAGTCTGCTTTCACTGGTTTATATTGAGCAACTGAGGTTGCAGTTTTTTGTCTTGAGTATTATTCAAAAAGTTATGAGACCTTAGCAAACTCTTCCAGTATTTAACATTTTGTATGTTTTACTTTTGAAAATTTCAGCTAACTGTTCTCTTGCCGAAAGTTCTAGCTTGTTTTTCGCTATTGTCAAAAACAGAAAGTGCCGTGATAAAATAGTCATATTATTTTAACGCTTATGAGTTACATATTTCCTTAATATGGTTTGTAACTTAAAGTAAAAAATTCAGTGACATTCACTCAGGACGTTGATTTTATGTTAAATAGGTGCATCGACTATATATAATAACAGGCATGATCAGCTTGATATATATAGTAACATTAAATACATAGGACATATGAGATATTAGATTATTTGTAGTGTTATAGTTCAAAATTGTTTAGGTAGTACGTTTTTCACACGTATTAGAGCAATAATTTATATATTCTGAAAATAATAATTACACAATTCACGCCAGTTTAGTGGCATGATGTACAGAACAAACATGTGGTAGAAGAAAGTTTTAAGTATACTAGTTCAGTAATTGTTTAGATATTACATGTATTAAAGCGCTCCGATGCATCAGCCGGGAATTTTTAATGTATCTTAAATGGACAGCCTGTTGATTTATGAACGGAGTAATTAAGGTCAATCCGTGTGCCAGATCGAATTAATGATAATTATCTACAACTAAAGAAATTAAAACGAAAACACAGAGCACGGGAAATCAAAGCAGTAATTACGTAAATATATGAATCAGGTCTACCTAAATGCGTGTGTCATGTGACACAGTGATATACTGTTTATGTTATTCGAATTAGTTAAACTTGCTAGGGACGGTGTAAACATATTGACAGCAAGTGGGTGGTTTTACTTAGGGAATGCACTAATAAAGATGGCTAAACATTTATAGTTCCTATAATATCACTTGTGGAATGAGATACATTTACAGGTGCTAGAACATTCAATGCATTTTCAGAGGAGCAGTATGCATCAATGCACCGATTAAATAATGGGAGTGATTTTATCGTACAGATAGATTGTAGTAGATTATTCCAGAGTCTAGAAAATTTACAGGTAAAGAAATTCATATAGGGAAATGATTTGGAATAAGTTTGTTTCACTAGTAACAAGGAATTACGGATGTCATAATGAGAAGTTTCTGCATATTGAATCACGTGATTGGATGTAAGGGATAGTTTATTAAGTATTTTGAAAAGATAAGATTTAGTTTGAGTCTCCTCTTCCACAAAGGGTCTAGCCCAGGTTTATTACATCTAGAATTATAAGTCAAGGTACAGTCAGCTCCAAGAATACGGTGTAAATCGTCTCTTTACTGATTCCAGCCTTAATTTATCCTTTATGTGCGCAGTATTAAGAATTAACATTCAGTATTCTAGGAATGGTCGGACATAAACTTTGTACATTAAAATACGTAACTCAATGTTATAAAGGTTTCGAGTTATGTAACGTACTAGACGTTGAGACTTAGAGGTCTGTTTCAATATCTGTTCTGTAAACGACAAGTCTTGGGAGTATCCAAGTCCCAAGTCTACTACTGTATGTAACCTAGATAACACTTCTCCATTTATGGTAAGGTCTAGGTTGAGTGATGTATCTCCGAAGCATATCCATCTACATTTAGCCGTATTAAGTTCCAGCTGCTATTTTAAACACCACTGTGCTACCTTGTTAAGCTCCATGCTGATGCAATTTTGCATATTTTTCAGCTCATATGGAGAAAATGAATATACTATTTTAAGATCATCTGCATATAGAAGGGGCTTACCCACACAAAAACTTTCACAAATATCATTAATAAACACTAAAAAGAGCAAAGGGCCTAAGACACTACCTTGTATTACACTACTTCTAACAGGAACAACGTTAAACAATGAAGAGTTAATTTTAACTATTTGATGTCGATTGCTTAGAAAGGAATCAAACCAAGCTAACAAAAGATTTTGAACCCCATAAGATGCGAGTTTACCTATAAGAAGTTGATGGCTAACCATGTCAAAGGCTTTAAAAATGTCCAGATATAGCACTAAGACTAGATATCCTTGACTGCGTAGAGAATAGACTAAATTAAAGAAATCGAAATGACATGTCATGCAAGATCAACTTTTAAGAAATCCATGTTGAGTATCACTGATAAATTTTCCAACGAGTAAATAGTTGGAAAGTTCATCACTTATGATTTTTTCCATAATCCTAGAGATAACTGGAGTAATATTTATTGGCCGGTAATTGTTCATGTCAGTCTTATCTCCAGATTTGTAACGTTGTATGGTGTACGCGGTTTTCCAACAGTAAGGGTAAGAACCAGTTTCCATAAAGAGAGAGTGAACAGCTGTAGAAGTGGAATATCTGGACCACCATATTTGTAGAGAAAGGATGAAATTCCGTCTGCTCCATGACCTCTCGAAAGCTTAAGGGTATTTATAGCCTTATTAATTTTCATGGATGTGAAGGAGATAGATTTTATTGAGTTGCTAGTCACGCACATAACTCTTGAAGCAGAACCACTTATGATTCCTACACAGTTCGCAAAAATACCACTGAAAAGGTCTGCTATAGTTTTAGAGTCATATATAAAAGTGCCATTATGCTGGATGCATGGTATATCAACATTTTGAGTTGCTTTAGCGCGTTTATTGAAAAGGAGAGTTAAGTTTTGTACCTTTGAGTTAGTATTAAGTGTTAGTATCTCCTCATTAATGGCTTTTAACCTATGTTTCTCTTTAATTTGATTAAAAATTATTGTTATTTGTGCAACTGCCGTTAAGTCGTTTGACTTAAAATAACGATTCTGTAGGCGTCTTAGTTTTTTACGATATTTAGCTGGTATATATAGTTCGTAAGGTTTACTAAACCTGTACGTTTTAAGAGGTACACAGGAATGTAAACAAGAGTTAACGATCAGATAGAATTCGTTGATAGCATCCATGAGACTATAACATGAAAAAAAAGTTATCCCAGTCTGAAAGTTTAATCAGTGAATGCGGGAGGTCCCAGTCAGCATGCTTATGGTCTCTATATTGACAGGTTTTTTGAATGGGTCGGTTATAAGAGGGATAGATAGGGAGAGCGCAAACTACTATCTTATAGTCACTGCTTTCAAATTCTTCGTATACTTTTACAGATAGTGGGGTAACATCTCTACTAAATATTAGATCGAGTATACTATCACCTCTAGTTGGGGTATGAACCCACTGTGACCAGCAGTGCATATTAATGGTTGCCGAGAACTCATCTTTACATGACTGACAACTACCGGTACTCGAGTTAATCCCAGGATAATTGAAACCCCCAGTGATAGCCTTAGCGTTAAAGTCTAGAGCAGATGCATGTATAAATGCATTGATTACAAGATCATCCACACTACTCGAACTATCAGGAGCTCTGTATATACATTCAAGGAGTAGACTATGATTCAGGCTGTTGACTGATTCTGGTAAACTATTCAGGACACTATCTTCAACTTTATTAGTTGTTATCGTATCCAAAACATATATAATGCAATCACCTCCTCGCTTATTTTCTCTGTCACAGCGATAGAGTCGATAGTTCGGGATATTTAATTGTGAATCTGATACTGCTTGAGAGCACCATGTTTCAGTGATAAGTATAAAGGAAGGCTTGAACGGAAAAGCTAATGTTCTCAAGGCTAAAATTTTGTTCAGAAGTGAACGTGCATTGATAAGTAATAAGTTTAAAAATGGAGTATGGAGTGTAAAAAAGTCGAGAGCTTCCCTATTGATGTTGTGTATCTTGGATTTGCGTAGACTGCGGTTTATTACGTTTGACTGATCATATGGGCTATAGCTTGAACAAACTGTATTGCTAGTGGGACCAGAGATTTCTGAAGGCAAAAAATCATTATTTTAATAAAGTGGATTAACTTGTTGAACTTGACTAGGCGGACAGTTAAGACAAACACCTGCTAGTTGGGGTTGGGTTCATCTTGCCCAATGGGAAAGTGTTGAGAAAAGTTACGTCTTACAGGTGTATTATTTAAAACGTTTGAGGGTAACCGTGGGGCACGTTGGTCCACTGTGGTCTGCACAATATTAGGCCTGCTTACATAATGATTGCAGTGGCCGTCTTGTGAGACATTTGAATCAAGTCTGCCCTTATAACCTCCCCTACGATGCGTAGGGTAAAGCATGGTGTCGGGAAGTATAGTCTTATTTTTATTTGGTAGGGCCATCGTAATATTTTTGTTATTGGGTCTAGAACCAGAAGGTTCTGTACATACATTCTTCTTACGTGGCATAGACTTTTTAATCTTGACAGTGTTTTTAAGAGCTGTCGCATTAGAACAAATTATTTGCTTATAGGCTTCTAATGGTAAACTGGATAATATCAGATTAGTGTCGTCATTAGATGTACATTGGTTATCAGATGTCACTACAGGCATAATAGGCAAATTAGCACTCTTCGTTGGTAAATCAGAGTACTGGAGAACATGAGATGGGGTAGTTGCGTCAGTGGATCCAGCAGCTGATGCATCGTGATTTCTTACGTTCTCAACGCCTTTATTTTCGTTCAAGGTAAGTTTTTGAGTAAGTCTTTGATTGGTGGTCTTATCTGAGACTATACGAGCGTTTCTAAACTTCGTAAGCGCGCAGATTAGCCGCCCGGATTCTTTCAACTGTTCAGCTAATATATGAGAATCGAATCTGAACAAAACCGGGCGCGAGTATTTCTGGTGCTTTTTATTAAGTCGAATGCATTGGTATGGATTGTCTTGAAGGTTAGATGCTTTTAATATCAAATTCCTTACAGTTTTAATGGGGATTTTGTCAAGTATATCATAGACAACCACGTTATTTCGAGAGACTATTCGCTTGGTAACTTCATTAGCGATAAATTCGATAACAGATTCTGCTCTTATAATGTCATAAAGTTCCGCAGGAACGATATCTTTTGACAAATGCAGTTTAAGGGATGATAGTGTCTTTATTTCTTGTTTCAGATCATCATGCTTTGATAAAGAGCTAGCAAGTGACTCAACTTTAGAACGCATGTTGTTTAGTTGCCTAAAGATATTGTTTAATTCACTCTTAATGTTATCGATACTTTTTGATCTTGAGGTGGAACTCATTGTTAAATTAGAGACAGAGTCATCCAGCATCAGGCGTAGTGTAAGACCACTCCCAAGATTATCAGCTTCATAAAGAGTAGCAGAGCATGGGAATAAGTAACAACAGAATTGTTATTATCTGAAGTATTAGGGCTTCTCTGGGCTCGTTTTTTTGACAGTCGACCCATATCGCTTTAAGTATAAATTCTAAAGCTATTTATGGGTTATAAACTAGGATTCAACAGTATTCAAACAATATATATTAGATACCGTGTTATCGTAACGCAAATTTCAAACGTACCGCAAAGGCGTCGTTTGGGGACTTGTGCGTCTTTTTATGTGTACATCCTTTTGATTCATGAACAGAAAATTCAACGTTATTTCCTGAGCCGTGACAAACTATTATCACTCATTCATTAACAACTCGTTTTTATCCATCGTCTCTTTATTATCACCTATAAATTTACTTCCTATCCTTTTTATGATTTCATCTTCAACATATTAGATACTAATCAGTCTTAACTATTATGCTAAATATGTTGTTTTCTCTTGTTTCTTAATTCGTTTTGAATTGAACTTCGTTGACTGCGGCCATTTGCAGCTGATGAGAAGCCGTGAAATATAATGAATTCATTACGTTTCGCGAATATTTCTCCCCTTGCGTTATATGAATTTATCAAGGGATCAGGATGTATGAGATAATAAGTTACTTCAGACTTTACAAACGATTTTAATTAATACTGCATAACCGTTAGGAAAACAATACGATCTTTTCTCCTACAATGTTCTCTCTAATGACCTCTTACGTCAAACCAGTTTGTTCATGTTTCAATGCTTTAAGTGATTTTATTTCAGATTTACCTTACCATTTCATGCAATCCATTTCCGTCAATCCATTAATCTATGAATAATCCCTATGAAAATCGTGACCAATGCCGTTTTGAAGATTCTACGGAAGATTTGAAGATAGTTTATGATGTAGCAGCCTCATATTATTCACTTGAACCATATTCCTATGCGAGCATGTGATAATTTAAACAGGTATAAGACACGAAATTAATCTGGCAATCATATACGTTATGTATTTAAATTCCATTAATTATCTCGTACTTATTCACATGATCAATTATGGGCTTTTATCCGTGTACTCTCTCCAAGAATTAGGCTTATCAATAAGGTTTTAACCAACCTAATAACCAACTTTCTCCAATCGTTTATGACATCATATCGTGTTTATTTTATGATAACATTTTGTGTGTAAATATGTCATTTTAGTACATAAAAAGTCTATTATTCTGGCTAGCTGTCCTATCTTTGATTTCAAATGACATTATAGATTATGTTAATTATTCGGTCTCTTAGACAGCCACATCGCATCACTGATTATCATCGATCGATCAGCATTCTTTTTCTTTCACTTTGATAATGTTATATTTGCTTGTCATAAAATTTTAGTTCATAACAAGTTTTTCTACATGTGTGATTGTATGTTTGCCACTTAACTATCTGGATTATATAAACATACAACAATTCACTCAACGACTGGTCGCTGCGTCAATTCACACACCAAACTGTTGATTGATATATCAATTCGTACACTACACAATGCACCACACCTCTTATACCTTTTGGACCTTATACTTTTTGTCTTCTGTTTCTAGTGTGTCCGAAGTACGTCAATTCCCTAAACGTTTCGTATTAAGCTTTTATTATCACATTGTCGAGGAAATTTTGTTATGCAATAAGATTAGTCTAAGAAGCATACGAAATTAACCGAGATACAGAACAGCTGAAAACGGACTTATTTACGTTCTCGTGGCCTGGCGTCAGCTGGGGAACTAAGGAAAAACATGGAGCAATAGACCTCTTTTATGTCCTAGTTTAAGGCTCATTCCGGAATCAAACAGATCTCCCAGTTACTCAGGAAATTCCATTACCTTTAAACCACTGAGCTGTAATCCGATGACCCACACTTGTGATTTTAGTCAGCTCGAATTATGGATCCACAGTCACTCGACATCATCGGTAGAAAAATACCTCCGATCCGACTTGGTTAAGCTCCACCAGCTATGACTTCAGCTTTTGGTTTAACGATACAAATAATATGACGCTATCACTTATCTATATTCATTTGTTACTATTTTCTGTAGCTTATTATTGTGGAAATGTTTGTGTTTGTGATTATACAGATTCTATAGTAAAATCCTTTAAAATATCTACCTTATATTCTAATCAGTATTTTATATTTCGATTCAGCAAGTGTACAGTCAAATATATCAAGCACATGCTGTTTTTCCACCTTGTTATTTTTTATTCTAGATACTCCCGATATATCCGTGAGTTACGTCCTCGTACTATGCTGCATTCTAGTTGTGCTTATTCTGTGCATTTGGAAACCTCTTTGTGTAAGTTCTTAAGTTCAGTTATTTAGCCATTTCTATTGGTTGTATGTCGACTGTATTATGTTCCTCCACTTCATTAACGATAAGTTCGTTAACTTACTCTATTTGTCTCATGTGGTCAATAGGTTACACCTTTTCCCATTTTTCCAAAACAATTAACAAAAGAAATACTAAGACAAATTGTCACAACTCGATGCTATTGCATTTGGAATCCACATGAGTACATCTATATTGTACCAAACTATAATATTGAATAAAGCCATTAATAGTAAAAAGTAAAATATTGGATCAAAAAATAGAACGGAGTATAAATTTCAACGTCCATATTATCCGAATATTTTATTTACAAATTTCAGTGAAATCTATGGGGTGTGGCCCCCTAAGAAAACCACCTGCTTCGGTTTGGGCACCCGGGCAGTATCACAGCCCACACACACACATATGGTGTGGCGCATATATATATGGTGCCCTCTTGTACCGATATTTATGTGTTGAAATAAATGGTTAACCGGCTGTTATTTCTGACTTGTTAAAAAATCGGAACAATAATCAGTGAATCAAAAGACAGCTTATAATTACGACCATATTAAGATACCATAAAACCATTCTTTTATAGTTATCGAATAAAGATACCTAAACTAAAGCTTTAACCCGTAGTTAAATGCCTCATTATATAAAAGTCTAGGGAATATATCTAGAATTCTTCACATCTCTAAGTATTTTCACTTGTGTTGTTTTATGAAGAAATTTGTACAAAGAAATTTTGTTCTTGGTATCTCAGGAATTTTTCAGTTCCAATAATTGAATTAACTTTTATCAGGCATCTGTAGTGAAGCACTGTTAATAATCTATATGCAATTAGGCGCATATGTATTTGGTGCCTCTTTGTACCATTATCTATGTGTTGAAATAAATAAAATAAATAAATAAATAAATAAATAAATAAATAAATAATAAAGCTGAGTACGTAGAATTTATAACTTATAACTGGTTTGCCAGACACCTGTTTATTTACATAGTATTTAATCTCATCATAAGAGTTAGAGATACTTCCAGGTTATTGGGACCGAAGTATATGAAATGGGGCGTACACGTCCAATCAGCTGCTGGATATTCGAGTGCTTTAGTCATTAGACAATTACCCCATATCCATCTCCTAGATGATCACACACGAAACGAACTTCATAGATCAAGTTACGGAAAAATTACTCAATATTTCACCGATATTTAGAGTGTCGACTCTCGAGATATAGCATGCATCAACAGAACTACTTTTCAGAGTTTTAAGCAACAATACCTTTTATTCAACCTGTATTAAATTGCTAACATTGGAAGCGGTAAGCTCAAAGGGCCACCAAACTATATTGTGAATGAAATCGGCATACCATTCAAATTACGTCGACTATTGCAAGCTAATTGTGACACAATTATGTATTAAAGATAAATAGTTAAGTAGTAGAGAAAGCATTGGTACATTCATTTGGTTTCAGTCTGCGATAACTTCAAGTAAGCAGTACTCTACACTCATCACTTCCTGAGGAATCGAGTCAAAATTTTTCAGGTCTTACTCAATGAAGCGTTATCACTGAGTCCCAACCCATCTTTGTAACTTAAATCACGTCGCTAATGAAGTAGTTATCCACTGATAACAGCGGATATTTTTCGCGCTACATAATAATTTGGCCAAATTTGGAGAGATAGACCTCTGAATGTCAACTCAGTAGCCTAAAATGACTGTATTTGCAGCTGAATTTGATACTCCTGAGTTGGATTTCGTATGGAGTGGTTAATGAGCACGACATGAGGCTGTTAATCAACCTAGGAAAAAATAGTTGTCTAACCCTCGATGGTTTTTTAAATGATATCCTTCGTAATGCAAGTGACATTATTAGATCTAATTCATATTTATAGAGATAATTTTTGTTTCTTTTTTATTGTAATAATTACTCTGCCAATTGAATAAATAATAGTGTTTATTTGTTCATTCTTGAACTGTGTATTTTACATGTTTCAGCATATATTGTACAATATATACGGTGGGTGTTGTACACGTTCTCGTGTTAGTAGAATTGATCTGAATAGCAAAGTGGCATATCGTCATTTAAATACAGAGGAGTTTTAAATCCGTTGATACTATCATTGGACATATCATATTACTTGTTGCATTGGATATTTATTCGTATATACACGAACAATTTGTTTTTTTTTTACATGTATGCATCACGCTTGTTCTTTTTCTCACTGTTCACAAACATCTCTCACTTAGTTGTTGTTTAGAATTCTTTTATATTCCTCTAAATTATTTTGTATTTGAGTATGATAAATATATCGTAGGTCAAATTTGATAATTTTAATCTTTAATCTTCTTCATCATCAGTGTGTTTTCGATTGTATGCTATTTGAGGTGAATAGCTCTTTTTTATTGGAGAATTTTCATATGACGGATAAATGAAAGCATTAGGTTCACTATCATATTTGAAGTTTTGTTCTAAAGATTCAGTTTGCCTGTCGGTTACACATAGATCATCTACTTATCTGACTATACAAGCCAGAAAAGAATTGACCGACCGGAAAAACCTGTTATTCTTAATGATAATTTCTTCAACACATATTAGACAAATTTTGAGTAAATGTGACTGTCTGTTTGAGATTTTTTGTGAACCAGATCTATTCAGTTCTACTCATCAAATTCTTGTTAATCGTGTAGATTTTCTATTAAAACTATTTCAGTGTTGAGCGAAGAAATTTCTTTTCAATTAGTTTTTCATCATGGCTTCGCTCAATTCGTTCCTTCTTTATTTACCAAATGGCAAAATGGGAATTTTCACTATATTTCAGTGTTGTATATTTCACTGGATAAAAAATGATATAGTATGGTTCTGGTGCTTTCATAATAACCTGTCCTCTATCTATCAGCAATCTTTCACATACTGGTGCATAGAATGTATTCGTTAAATAAATTTCATACATTATTCGTCATCATCTTAAAACTATCCTAATTTATTCCGAATAATCTCAGAACCGAATCATATGATTATAAATATCCGAGTACATTGTATAATTTATGTAGTGTTCGTAAGTTGTCAAGTGACGCTTGATCTACTAATGTGATTTTACTAAAAACGGAGAAATTCAATGTTGTCTTAAATTTCTATATTAATACTTGAGTGATAATTGTACTTACAAGTGTTAATAAGTTTTTTTTTTTATTTGCAAAGCTGATGAAACGCTACTACATCGTGAACTTTCAGCAATCTTAAAATATTTATGTTGCCTACTGGTAAATGAGTTAATTTAGAGGTATGGTCAACAAAATTCCTCTTAAAAAAGTAATAAAGAGTTTATTTCTACATTGCTAACAAATTTGTCAATGTTTTTGATAAGTTCTTAACTTTAAAATCAAAATTTTCAGCGCTTGAGTCTAGGTTAGTTTCTTCATTAACTCTTTATAAAGCCGTAAGTAGTTTTCCAGATGACTACACATTGACTTCGATATATTTGCAAAATTACTCGAAAATTGGGACAACTATCTGAAGGATATATGAGTAGTTTAACACTACAAAAATGCTAACTAATAATATGATTTATTTGAAACTCCTTTATCACCACTTTGCATCAGTACTGTTGAGCGTTCCATGTGTTTTGGATTTGTATTTCCATTTCTATTCCATCATAACAGCAAACAAATTCTTATCAATCCTAAGCTTCCCAACCACTCTACTTAAATATTCTCTACATATTTACTCAAATTGTCAGTCATCATGAATAAAATTCATCATTTGTATCTTGATTGGTTCAGCTGTGTAGCATTGTTAAATCATATTAATACGTAATAGCCAGAAACTGTGCAAGGTGATATTAAAGGGGTAAAACTAAAATTTTTTTTATCGAATACTCTAAATAATAAAATGTTAGCTCGAATCATTTTATATAGTATTCATCATAAGTCGATCTTCATCTATTACATATTAGGTATGGTTTGATCATCTGTTCAAATAACTGAACATTATTTTCAATTTATTTAGCGTTCAATAATTTGATTTCTGATTCAGTAAGGACCTCTCATCATCATAATTGTTACGTACTTCTGAACTCGTACATAATTCAACCGAACATCCTAATGAGTATATTGAACAACATACTGGGTTTATACTACCTGGATTATTTCCTACCCCTGGACACAAAAAAATTAAGAATACAACGTGATGTATTTCTTGCTATCACTAACTCGAATGAGTAATCCATAAGTTCATATTGAGTAACTTAGTGTACGTTCAAGAAGTGGTCATTAACAGTGCTAGTCGAATGGGACGAAACTTCATCAATCATGTGTACTTTAGAACTGTCATAGTATTTGCCTCAAAGCCCTTTCACTATACGACTGTAGCTGAGTTTTTATAAATAGACTTTCTAACACTGATGGAATATATACATTACAAATCAACATAAGCTCATAAAATGTCCGACCAAGAGTTACTAAAACAACAATTCTTTTTGATAAAATTTCCATTATCACCATACATTTATTCCCTATTTATCTAGACAACTAATCCTAAATTGTGAATGAAATATTTTGGAGTCTCTAAGTACAGCAATTTTCTGATTTCTGACTAATTTACAAGCAAATAGAAACGTCAGTGATGGGAGGGGGGAATCAATTTACCGAGTCAAATCTTATCATCAATTTATTAGACTTATAAACACTGTTACAATGTGCAAGAGATAATAGAATGATTTTCATGAAACTATTATTTAAAAGTATAATTCTTAATGGAGTTGAAAAATTATTAATAACTAGACAGTATTAATAAATATATTAATGGGGAAAGGATTTACAAAGTGACTACTACTTCAGCTCTATTTCTGACATGTTATAGCCATGGTTTATGATAACAGTAATAATAATAAAGTATATTGCATTACGAGTTGATCTAGTTTGATAGGGTCAATCAAAAAAACCGATGCCAGTGTTAAAATTATATTTGAACTAATCTTAACCATTTTAATTCCAACATTTTGTCCAGCAAACTTATTTGGACTTCTTCAGTGTAATGATCAAAATCGAAGTTATCAAAGAACATACAATGTTTAATAATTAAATGAAATCTATTCCCTCTTTATCCAATCATGTTCAGATGTTAATTTTATTAAGTAGGACATGTGAATTATGCAAAAATAGATAAATATGTAAATATATGCGTGTGTATATGTAAGTTTACGTTATAACTAGTTGATATTAGTTGTTAATTTGTTTAATAGTTGAAGTCGTGAGTCGATTAAAGCTAGATAACCATGGAAAATCTGGAAGCACTGAACGGCCGTTCCGCCCTAGTACGGGGTTCCTCAGCAGTGCGCATCCACAACCCGGCTCACAGGATTCGAAACAGGACCTAACGGTCTCTCGCGCGAACACTTAACCTCTAGACCACTGAGCCGGCATTCAACACTGGTAATGTATAACTCCAACTAATCCACTAATATTTCACACTGAAGATAAATAAATGTAGATGACTTATTGATAGTGTGTGTGTATATGTGTTTGAGTTATTAATAGTTGATTTTAAGTGTTAATTTATTTTTGTTAAAGTAAGAATAAAAATGCAGATTGAAAATATCTTTTGAAACGTCAATGTGTACACTAAACGAGAATCATCAAACACATAGTTGTGATAAAATATTCAAATTAATTTCCCCCAGAACTACAGAGCATGTAGAATAAACTGGTTGCATAGATATAGGATCTAATTACTTGTTAATTGTCGTCTTCCAAGGGTTTAGTAGTTGAATACTACCTTTTATGTTTAGGATCTTATTAGCCCATAAATACAACGCCTCTGTTGTCAATCTTTCTTTATGTGTGCCAAACTCTTTCTGAAGTATTTCGGTCCCTTCGAATTTGATCTTGTGTCCTGTTCGTAACTCATGGAACGATATCGCCGACCTATTCTCATGTTTCTTTAGATTCACTGGGGATTTGGGAACATGTTCCAAACGCTGTTTTTGTTCCCTCATCCCCGCATTCAATCGTCTAGATGTTTCTCCCACGTAAGCTGCATTACAATCTTGACAGTTGATCTCATAATCAACATTCTGTTGTTCTTCCTTTGGAAACCCTATCCTTAACTTTGCGGGGATCTTATGGTTTCACTAGTCCAAAAATACACTTATATTGTGTTCGTTTAGAATCTTAATTTCTTCCGATATCTCTTTACCGGATGGGGTGACCACTGTGTTCTTCCATTCTTTGTTTTTACCTTATTTCGAACGATCTTCTTTAAAAGCTCTTTAGGGTAATTGTTTGCCCTAAACATAGACAATAATATATTCAGTTCAGTTTGTTGATCTTTCACCACAGTGAGATTATAACTATTAATGAAATTTTTGACCACTGTGACCTTCGCACAACAAGCATGAGCTGAACTATAATCTAAGTGTCTCTCAGAATGTGTTGATTTTATGAATACATCAAGTTTTAACTTACTGTTATATCTTCTTTCAACTAAAAATCAAGAAACGCTAGTTTGTGGTTAGTGGACTGTACCTCGTTACTTAACTCAATGCTGTCTGATATGTTATTTGCGTTTTCAAATGTTTCTTTTACAACATTTCGTTTAATGATGAAAAAAAGAGTCATCTACATGCATCAACCAAACTTTGGGTAGATTTACACGTTTTGTGGTCGCACTGGTTTCTAAGGGATGCATGAATAAATTCTCTACAATCAGAGAGACTGGTTAACCCATTGCCACACCTTTCTGTCTCTATAGATACCCTCGAAATAGGAATAGGGTGGATCGTAAACAAGATTCTAAACACTTAATAACCTCGGGAGGATCTCGCGGGCATCATCGTAATTTCAGGTGTGTCGGATTTTAAACACTCATCCAATGTTCTGTTGATTAATACATTAAGAAATAAGGAAGAAACATCGAAACTTGCCATCAATTTATCCTCTCCCATGAGAATGGTTTCAATATTATTCTTGAATTCAGTAGATTTTTTGAGTCCACGATTAACCAATTCGTTTTATTATTTGAGTATCCTGGCTATGTGTTACGTCCTTGGTCTGTTACCCACTTTTTGTTGCTGAGGTTAACTTTTCTAATCTAGATTATGACCTTGACGCGATAGGCTGCCCGCTTAACCTTGAGGTTAGTACGCGTGAGTTCGAAGTGGGGTAGAGAGAAGAAAACTATTCTATCACTTGATTGGTTGGAAAGCACGCGAGTGAGAGAAGACAAGACAACTCGATCTATTCCCGAGTTTTTTTGTGAATAAATAGATGATTAACCTGATCACAACGTACAATAATTAGGAAAATACAATTATCTCCAAAGCCGGGAATTAGAGTACAAAATAATCTGTTTAAATTACAATAGCTTCGGAATAAAAAAGCGTATGACAGTGAATCATACATCAAACGAAAGCTTGTGTTCTGTAGAATAGATTAGGGATAAAAATAAATGTTAGTGTTCTACAAGCTTTGAATAAAATGAAATAACGTCCCGGAAAATATCTTTCGTAGTTTGTCAGGGCTTTTTGTTTCTATGTTCACATCACTATGTATTTCGCTAGTTTGTGTCAGTGAATTTGTAAAATCAACCTCTAGTCTAAGTGGTTCATTATTCTTGTGAACATTTGGTAGTCCGTAGGATCTACAGGGATTACAACTTTCTGATGGTCATAGTCTTATTCTAATGGACTGTAAGATTTTGTTTATTTCAGCCTCAAGTTTATTAGGTATAGTCGGTTGTTAGTGGAATCATACGGGACATTTTGAAGATGTTCCCTAGCTTTTCTCTTATTGTCTAATTTTTCATAATGACAGTCGTGTTCTTCTTATCTGCTCTCGTGATAATAAATATTCTATCATTTCTTAACTGTTTTCATGCATATAATTCATTTTTAGCTAGGTTAGATATGTGTGGTTTTTGATGTAATCAAGTGTCCACAATTTCATTTCACGCGTCATCCGCTTTCTTATTAGGAAGGCAATTCAATGCTGGTTTAATTGCAGGTATAATATCGAAAGGTGATAATCGTGGAAATTAAGACCCTTTTTTAATATAAGAAATTTCGTGGATATTAAGCTTTCTATTTGATAAATAAACGATCAATCTGTTATTATCCAATGTGTTAAATTTGTCTCCCGTGCTGTAATGTGTATTTGAGAATTTTCTGAAACTTTCTAATTTGTTGTTGTTTTGACTATTGATGATGTAACTGTTCTCTGTGTTTAATAAAGGAAAGGTTAATTACTAAAACCTATTTTACTGCAGAAATTAAGTAGTGTTTATGTGGTTATAGAACTATTTTGAGAAGTTTAAAAATGATAGAAAAAAACTTGGATATCCAACCAGTCAAGTTAGAGAAAGACATAAATATGTCACTATCTTGATATCTAGGGATTTTCTCAAAGAAACTGACCGGTTTAAAGGGATTTAAGGTTACTTTTCATCTTTTTGGGATTTTAAGAATAGTTATAGTAATTGCTCAACATCATTTGCTACCAAACTGTATCATCTAAGGATTATCCGAGAAATAACGCAGTGTAAGATACTACTACTAGAATCTACCGGTAAGCAGCAGTATTTGTAAGAGTTAAGTAATACTGTTGTTAAACATTTTTTATTTTGTGACTGTCCAAATAATCACAGTATTTATCAGAGGATAGTGCAAAATAGCTTTACTGTTGTTATTAAAAATTATATTGTATAAATAGTCGTTTTGTAGTGAATGAAAACACTAGTGTGGACAATCGAATATATTTGAACACAAAATTACAGAATCTCTTAGTAAAATCTAAGAACCATACAAACTGTCGATCAATCTTCTCAGATTTCACTGTGCCTTCATTTCCACAGCAATCATTCTTTTTTCTCGTTCTCTTTTCTTCGATCTTCTTAAACTTCTGCTGCCAGGTATTTCACTTTCGATTGATGATGCATACTACTTATGTCTATCGACATCGGTAGCACGCACTATATATATATTCAGATGGATCGATATCATTTTATTGGCGTACACTTAATCAATTAATCGACAGCGATTAACTCTATTTATCAAAGGCCATCCACTATTTATTTACATATTTTGATTGATTATTATTGAAAAGCGAAAATAGCGTATATCGACTTCAATCACTGTTTATTTTCTACAGGTAGGTCTAATTATTGATTTTTTTTATAAAGTTTGATAAACAAAATATATTACTACCAATGAGTTTTCTTCTTTGATTTCATGAAATTCGGGCTGCATTTTCTTAAAATGGAAATGTTTCACATTCGTAAACTTGACTGTGTTCAACGCTGATCTTCAAGTTTTATGTAGTTTGAATCCGGTTTACTAATATCTTTGTTTATTTCACTTGTTTCTCAAATTAGAACATATAATCAAGTTGTAATTCAAATTTGGGCAATATAGCTGAGAATAATTCACATACTAAAAATATTTGAAGTTTCCAAAATTTGCTCAAAATAATCGAAAATAGCAGAGATGCGTTCACTGTTTGTTTTTGCCCATTCTTTAGGTTTCTTTTTATCTACACCTAGCCTTTTCTGCTACTAACAGTTTTGTTACTACTTCAAGTGCTATAGGATTCGTTTCGACTATACTACCTTGCTGTGTTAGGTTAGAGAATTTCGGTCGGCGGCCTATGCTCCTATGAAGAGTAACAGGTGTAAGTGCTAGTGTGATGTGACGACTTGAACCGATGCTTTGTCAGGTTCTAGGTTTTATATTACTGACTAATATTCGGGGAGGTGTAACACTGATTGAGAACTGTTAAATAATAAACAACTATTTCTTCCATGTTTGGAACATTTCAAGTGTTTACTCATTCCCCCCACACTGGATTTAACACATGAGTTTTGGGCCTCGCTACAAGCGGTAAATCTTCAAACCATTAAATCAGAATCCCAAGTTACTCTTCTTATTGGTAAATCTCGAATTCCTTGGTTCAATCCTACTAAGGTGTTGTGGATGCTAACTAATGTTTAGTCCAAAATAGCAATTCAATGCTCCGTTGTTTTCAGTAGATCTGTAGCTAATACCAGTTCGCTATGAAGACCAAATTCCACTCAGTCAAGCTCCACAAATTCTCCACTTTCTTATTAAATATATTTAGTGTTCAGAGTAATGTGAAAAAGGTTGAGAAATATCGAGCGTAAACAGTATAGCATCACGCAACTTATTTGTTTTTCATTTGAAATATTATCTTCTAAAGTTTATAAATTTGACTTAAATGAACCGACCAATTTTTAGTAATGGTTGAAATTCATTCTTCATATTGCTCGTTATTTTTTTAAATTTTCAGTGTCCTTATCAGTAACCTTAATTATTTGTACTGAGTTTGTAAACAGTTTGCAGACTCGCTAATATGCAACTTTTGAACCGCAGACATAAATCTTAAAAGGAAAGACAAGAGAGACTTCAGTTTCAGAGTTACTTTGGTTACAAAACTCATGAAATACGTATTTGGTTATCAATAACACCGTTATTTTGAAAGTTTGTAAGAACAATGCCTAGTTAGTTGTATTCTAGGTGTTTGAACAGTTAGATTAGAAAAAGATATTAATGGTTTTGATTCTAGATTTGGCTGAAAATTTGCTGAATGACTTGATTATAGGTATTGTGTTATGTTCCTGCTGCTCTCTCATTAGCAGGATAAAATCCAGATGTGCTCAGTGCAAGTTCGAATCTGTTTGGTTCCTTTTAAACGAATCAGCTCTTGACAACGGATCCGGAAGCCCCTAATCTAAATTCTACAAAAGGTGAATTCGTTTTTTTCAGCTCATTTTTGTCAAGTGAAGCGTAGTGGTAAAGGATACTATTCAGGGAAGATTATTACACTGAGGTACTTAAAAATATATATAGATATTTTCAACAGGTATCCTCACAGCATATTGTTACAAATTCATTCCTTATAGGGTTTCTTGTAAACTAGTCTCATTTTGAAATATGCCTATGACTAGTTGTCAGGACATGTTACGCAACTTTGATCGTATGTGTATTTAAAATCAGAATTTTACTGTTTAACAGTTACAAGTGGCGATTGAGCTACTGAGGAATAATTCCACTAATCCAATGCTGAACAGAGATACGCAAAATTCCGGAATAATTTAAATTGGAATTAAGTATAGGTTCTCAATGAAACCACCAGGTGATAGTCAAACTGTTTGCCGAGTCAAACATAACCTGCAAATGTCAACTTTGTTGTGTTTGGGCTAAAACTTCAGTCATAATTAGTTCCTTTCTTTTTAACCAGTGAGTTAGTTACTTGTAAGTTGCTTGAAACCACGATGAATCAATTCTTCAGTTATCTCTGGCCTTTAATGATTGTCCAGATATATGAAAATAATTTGAAAAATTATCATCTTTAGATATATGAGAATAACGTAAAGTAATTATTATCCCTACCAATTACCTATTGATTTAAAATAACTTATTAAGATTAGACTGGTGAATATATGTATAACCTAGTTTCAGCTCAACTGTAATAGTAGACGGTATTGTACATTTCTGCTTTCAAATGTTTTGTACAGTGAATATATATTTCAAGGTTTCGTTACTCATTATCACATGTTGATTTCAAAGTTTTGAAATAAAGAGTAACAAACATTTACTCTCATTATGCTCCATGAATTTTCCGCATTATCCTCCTACAGTTTTGATGTGAACCGACTCGTTATGACTTTATTTTTCTTTCAGATTCGACAACCAACTAGTTAACAGCCTTCATGTTTCTTCATTCAAATTCATTGACCAGAATATTTAACTCCAGTGAGGTCCTAAACATAACCTATCCTTTCATTGGTTCCTCATACTACTGCCACTGGTTGACATCAACTTTTGCATCCCATTATAAAAACCTTGGCTTTTTATTAAAACTCTATGAAGGTCTAATATCGTCCCATTTTAAAATTAAACTGTTTACCATAAAATAACAAATAATCATTTTTAAACAATTACCAAGTATTTCACACATATCAAATACATTTATCAAGTACAAAAACATGAAACATGATACTACCATACAAAGTTAGATTAATTTTAATATAAATAATCTGAGTACTGATGACTTTTCAATAATTTATTATGCTTACGAGCTTCATAGAAAAATTGTGGAGTTCTAATTGTGTACCTTGAGAAAAAAAACGACACAAATGTCTATAAAAAAAGGGCATCAAGTTAAAATATCAATTATATATTACTATTTCAACATTAAAAAGTCTGTATTTGAGCAGCGAAATCTTTATTCCCAATTAGTTCACCATCATCGTTCTACTTACATTAATATGATAATGGCTAAGGATTTGGTGACAAAATCAATATCAATCAAGTCAGGTGTTAAACCTGTTGTCAACAATCTGGATCAACGTACATACGTATCAGATCCTACGTTGTCCATGACTGAGTGTTGAATTTAAAAAATAGCTGACAGGAGTTATAATGAATTTTCTAACTTTTGTTTGATATAATCTCCATTTTGTAGTCCTCTTTAAATGAATAAAAAACCGCTTACTTAACCAATATCTTAATTATCAGTTATAGCCTATTTAATTAAGCATTATTGTAAAGATAAAAGTTTAATAACAGCGACTTTATTATTTTATTTGATCTGTCTTTTTATCTTTCAAAACATTTCGTTCTTATACGTGTTAGGATTTGCAGAACCTTGTAACATTTTGGTTAACAAAATAACTGATTGATTGAGTGATGAAAAAAATGTACGGAAATTTTGTGGAGTAAGACATGAAAATCACTAGACAGGTAAGATTTCCAATTCTGATTTACAGTTTAACATTATTAATTGATATGGTTTAAACTAACTTTCGTGTGTTTCTGTATTCACCCATGTTGGTGGTGTTATATCTCTAGTTACCAGGGCTGGGAAGCATCTGAATAACTAGCTTACCGGTCGTTGGTCCTAGAGTCTTTGTTCCGTTGCAGACTAGGTAAATTTTTAATCGATTAAAACATAGCAATCCAATAACCGCATCCCTGTGTGCTAGATTTAATGTGTTTTTTTCATTTTTGTGCCTCCTAACTGATTTGTCATGACCATATAAACACACAAACGTATATGTACTCTCTTTTAGTAACAATGTACCTGAAGGTTAGGTGTGAACTTGTTAACGATTGGATGTTAACAACTCAGTGTATTAAATGTACAAAAGTATTTGATTGTTGTAATCGGTGGTCCTTAAATGTTTACGTAATTTGCTCATCGAATTTTCAGTAGTCTCATTTTTGAGGTTAGATGCAAAATATTCTTAACTCTCTGGACAATTTGAATGAAATTATTACTGATAAATTGTTGAAAACCTGGTAATGAGTAATTTATGTTTGATAGTAACTTTGTGCTCTGCAAGACAAGTCAGTCACATAAAAAGTTGCGAATATCACCGTCAAAATAACAGCAATTTCTCTAGACAGTAAATCAGAGAAAATAAAATGACATTCAGTGATAAACCTTTAAATTTTAAGACAAGTGATTGTTCACAAAAAATATGCGGAAGGTTTGAACATGACAGTAAATGATTGAGTACTTGCATAAACAGTTGCCTATTCCAGTAAAAAATATACCAAGAACTCTCAAATTCATCCTGGTTCAACAAATTACTTAGTCGAAAAAACGAATTGACGGTTGAATTTTTCACTGTGTCTGCCTTGGTTTCTAACATTATCTTCATCTAGGGTGGGTAAATGAAAGTCTCAAGTTGGTTTTATAGTGATTCGCAAAGCACTCTAGTTTACTGTACGGATCTAGTTAGCCAGTTTATTACTGAACATTAATTGGCAATAAAATAATTTCCCTTATTTAGGATACATACCATCTAGGTAGTGGTTTTCTTATTCTTTCCAACATGTCTAGTTTCTCTGCTTGCATTAGCATTTTCTCTTCTAATTTTAGACGTTTCAAGCGCGCTTCCAATAGATTTTGATGTACTGGGGAAATAAATAAACTATGATAATTCAACGAAGATTTCGAACTGGGATCTGAAAATTCGACAAAAATAAAAGGAATTTATAAAAAATAAGAAAAAGCAGGAATACTACTTTTTATCCAAGTTAGTAGTACGGTTGAAGGTCACTTAGTTTTCGAAATTCATAATTAGATTTTATAGTTAGAGAATACAGAAGTGACTGGACTCGAAAGTGATATGAAGATTAAGAGTTAAACAGAACGATCATGTCTGCGTTTTATTGACTGGTGAGTGAAGTACAAAACATGTTGACTGTAGTCAATTACGTTTTGAATTGATTTGAATTATATTTACCGTTTATGAAATTTCTGTAACTCTTTATTGTTGATATTCAGGACTGCAAATGATCAGTTTCTGTCGTTCTATGTGGGTCCTGAGAGGATTTCACTGACAGCGAGTTGTGTAACACGTTTTTATTATGTTTGGTTGCTAGCAGTAGAGTTCAGGAATCTATTTGTTCCTGTTTAGATTTGTCAGGTGTTGGTAGGAAAGGGTACTGGGTTCGAGTCTCAGTGTAAACGTCAACAATAAAATACAGGGATGTCTGCCTGATGATTCCCTCAATAGAATGAAATATGCTTCCTGAATTCTATTCCTAGCCATATATAAAATATACTAAAATTTGTTAAATATTTTGTTTATAAATGTATTGTTTTGCATGAGCGAAATCACTTTTAATGGCTAATTTCCAGTTTTTTTATGTTAGTTCATTTTAGCATACGAAAGGTTAAGTCGGATTTCTGTTTATAAACTAAAGTCCTATCATTCTAAACAAAGATGGATGGTGTCTAGCAGTGGAATCCAGGACACACGTCTCGTCCTATTTGAGACCCGTCAGTCAAACGTACCTGAATCTCAGAGTTGAGGTTCACTCTGGGATTCGAACCCATCAACGTTCGCTTCAAACACCATTGCGTTATCCACTTAGCTACTGTGTTCAGATGGCCACTAGCTTGCTCAATGTGGTAAAAGGGATAACGCGAGGGCGTTTAAAGCGAATGTCACTGGGTTCGAATCCCAGAGTGAACGTCAACTCTGGGATGCAGGTGCATGCGACTGACGAATTCTAAACATGACGGGATGCGCGTCCTGTATTCCACTGCTAGACACCATCCAGCCCTGCTTATAACGCTTTTCACCTAATGGAGATGTCGATGCAATCCGTGCAGGATGCACATATGCCAATAAGAGACTGGTCAATCGGATTCCTAAAAATCAATGAGAGGATCCAAACAAACAATACAAAAATGAATTAAAGTCCTATCAATTTTGTATTGCTTTGGTGACTTTAGTTTTTAAGATTTGGTTACGAAATATCATATTCTCTCAGCTCAATAGAAGATTTCTTTTTTCTTAGCTCCCTATATGGGCTCTGCTCATTTTATTCTGACAGCGGGTTTTCTAAGTACTTGGAACTACACAAATTATGACAATAACTTCTCCATTTCCTGAAAGATCTTATATTCACAGCTTTTTCAGTTTATCCAAATAGAATAAACGATCCCATGAATGATTGTTAAAATTGTTCCACGTCTACTACATTTTATTAATCTACCACTATGCCACTTCTAGTCTCGACTTATTCTTTATGTGAAGGTGGTATAAAGCATGTGCAATCCTTTTGTTAGATAATTGACACTGATATTTCTAGGATAGATCTAGGCTAAGAAATAGCAAGAAATAAATGGGTATAAGGCGTAAATAGATCACCTTTGTGAGTAGTTGTTATTCAACACACCTTGTACTGGGTTTTATTTCATAACCCGTATCTGTGAGCTACCCTCCAACAGCGACGTTGCAGTGTAGTCCACCGTAAAAACTTTCGTATACTGGTGACAGTCTTCTCAGGCATACCTTGGTATCGAAGAAGGTTCCATATGGTTCTCCTATCCACGCTATCAAATGCTTTCTCACAGTCATCTTGGCCACCACCAGATCGTGATCTAAAGCTATGTCAGCTCCCCCTCTTTTTCCTTCATGTCTTCCATTGACCTTTCAAACCTTTTATTGATGCAGTTGTGATTAATGTGGTTCTCTGTGATGTGATCCGGTGAGACTCATATAACTTGTGTATGCGTTTGTGGATGAATATTGTGTCGCTTACAACCATCTTTTCAGGGCATACAGATTTACAAATCTCTCACCATTCCCATAATATATTCATACCTGGTGTTTTCCATTCCGACTATAACATCTAGGTCTCGCATCAGGATGATCAGGTCCTTTCCTGGGCACCTCTATACGACTGACCGAAGCCTCTCATAAGATGGATCTTCATAGTCTTCGTTGCCATCATTAGTGGGTGCATAGCACTGGATAACACCCATTGTAATCCCCTACCTCTTTGTCTTGAAGAATGCTTTGGTGATTCTGGATCCATGAGACCCCCACCATATAAGTGCTTCTCTTGCTTCGTCGGACAGGATCGGTGCAACTCCTTGTGTGTGAGAAGCATTTTCTTCTTCATGAGTACAACGGTAACTCTCCTGAACCTGGTCTTTTCTGTCCAGCCGGCGTCTAGTGAGTTTCGCTTATCGCGAGCACTGACAGGTTTTATTTTTTCGTTTTCGTAGATATTCTGTTGGTCCTCCTGGTCTCTCATATTTTGCGGGTATTCCAAGTACTTATTTTGATTGTTGCTGTGGTTGTTAATAGAGAGATCAGTTTCATGATCTTTGAGGAATCCCGGGTTTCAACATGAGGCGTCATAACTTTTCTAAATGAACACCCTTCAACTCTCAGGACAAAGTTCGAACGATTCAAGTGGTTTTTCCTGGTTAGCGTCTTTTCAGCGAAGTTGTGTTTCTATGGGATGAGGTTTCTAACCCCATGCTTAATCGTCCTTCTTTATATGGGTTCGGGACCGGTAGTAACCCTAGATGGGCTCCAGACGGAGATTGTACACGTTAAACAAATCTATTTTTCTTTGACACAAAAAAGATTTGTAATCCATGTGATTATTTTTATGAATAATCCTTAACTTATCCGATTATATCATATTTTTATATATATGCGACTGTTTATACCTGGATGAGTATATTATCCTTGAGCTATAATATAAATTCATGCAAAAATTTACTCATTGGTTTGACTGATGAGTTGAATCCGCATACCTCTCACTATGCATTCGTTCTCTTCCTTCATTGATAGTTTGTCTGGTGAACACGTTTGCTAGGAAAAAAACATTTATTACCCAACTTCTAATGTATTATCGAATGAGTGTGTTGCACAACGGGATAGGTTTAATTAATGTATATAAAAGTAATCGATGATTTATAAAATCTGAAGATAGGTGCATTTACGAATTGGAGACCACTCTGAAAAAAACATAATGCAACTTATTGTAATATCCATTCATGTTACAAACGTTATGTCTTATTCATATATGCTTGAAATCCATGTCTATTAGTACCCAATTTATGTAGAAAATGCCGTGATACCTATGATACTTGAAATTTCATAAAGTTGGACTACAATTTATCATTTATCATAATCCTACAAAATAGGTAGTAATAAGACAGAGTTTAAATATTAGCTAGTGAAATCCACGGATTACCAGGGGGAGAAACAGCGAAGGAGAAAAATGGAATATAGAATTTATAAAGATATTTTACAGTGTTAAAGCTTTTGGTGGGGATTTGTTCTTTGAGCTGGGTGATTTAGTTGCAGAGCTTTCATTGTTCTTCTGAACAACATCATCAGCATAAACGTCAGCTAGAAATGGTAACGTATTTTTAAGTTTTTTGTAAGTTCTAATTATCCACACTTGACGAGTTGCATTCAAGTAGTTGGTATCGCACCTATAGAAAAGAATACTGTTAATGGTGAAAATATAGGACTAGGTGGGCTACAGTTGGCTATTTCCAATGAATTCATCACTGTTAGTTGTTAAATAAAAGGTGTAAAGTGACAATCTGTTGTTAAAATCACTGATTTGTTGGAAGAATTCTGCGAATTCAAGTCACTGTTTTCTTAAAACTACTGATTATGTTCAGTTTTATATTTTATGCTGATAATAATGAAGTTCTTATTCTTTGTCGTCAAGTCATGTCAGTTAGAGAAGCTTTGAATACCAAAGTACACGACATGGACATTTCATCCTAGTGTATGGCTCGTCACCTCATGACACCTACTCAGGGTCGAAACCTAGGGATTCAGGTCACTTGATGAGACCATACTTACAAACTAATGAGTTAGAATTCAACGGTTTAGATTTGTTCTTCATTCAATATGCAATATGATGCCATTCACATCGAATGTCATCGGTGCGTTATCTCAAATCCAATTTAAATAAACAGAGATAATTTTGTATAAAATTCTTACTGCTTGGATAATTACTGAGTAGTTTTATTTAAATCGTACATCTAACTTACTTAGATTTTCTAATAATTGTTTGACTGATGTCTTTAAATATCCTAAACTTGTTGGTGGGTTATCTTTTGGATGATAACGCCTGACTGAAGTTGTCGTTCTAGGTTGGTATAGTTCACCACTTTCATCTATTACACATTCAAAATCAGCTTTATCAACGGCTTGACGATAAACAGTTGTTGCAAGTACTGGTGCTTCTTCAGCCAGTACACATTGCCATGGATAAAAATCATCACCGGGCCGTTTAATACTGCCGAAAGCAGGTGGTGAAAATGTATAAAATCGTTTGCTGATCAACATGTTCACCACATTCATAGTATCCTCATTCAGATAATTGAAAACAATACAGAAATATTGTAAACTTCGTATGGGAATTCGAGTATTATCTTTATACGTTTATTAACAAAAACCAGATCTTAAGATGCTTATGTCTATCATCCTATACAAAATCTCACGCAGTTGTGTCGTGTTTAAAGATCTTTACTTATAAAATTCAAAATATTCCTTGTTAGCTGAATACCTACCTATCTAGCATTAGGAACCGCAGTTGTCGCAAATTTCTAACCCATTTATAGTTAGAACTGAAAGTCCAAACCAAAAACAAAGCAAGGCAACATTCAAACCACTTGGTAAAATTCTTAAATTTAAGTAACTCTGTTTTGAATATCACTGATTTTGATTTCAGAGACTCTCATTCACAATTCTGGTTTATATGAAATGTAGATAACATCGAAATCCACCGGTGATATTTGTTCCACTTTTAAAATGATTATTTTTTTCACTAGAACTTTAGAAATTCTCTTCAAAGTTATTCACTAGTGAGCACACATAAGTTAGCAGGACACAACATGTTTCGAGGTTGTCTAAGGTAAAAACAGTCTTAACAATCAGCGCCTTCTGGCCTTCAATAGTTTTCCTGCTGAAATCAGTAACGAAAATTGGCCACCTTAATTATATATTTGTATTTTGTGATTTTATGTTTGATGTATTCATTTATCATTTTCTCTTAGATCCTGAGTTTCAAAATCTACTACTTACTTTCTCGAAATACTCTCACGCGGCCACGCGTATACAGCCTCTGCCAGAGAAGTCCTACTCATTGCCTTCTCATGGCAGCGGTGTTGTTTACGAAAATGAGAGGACGAAAAGCGAATGTCGGGCGCTTCAACCGGATCCCAAACCAATGGTGCATATGAGCTCCAGTATCCTGCGGGAACAAATGATGTATGAACCAACCGTTGGTCACCGTCTACCATGGGACTGCACCTCCTTACGATGCTCCACTGCCTTGTGGGTTGGACCTTCAGGTCAAAGGCTCGTGGTGTGGCCTCCTAAGTAAACCACCTGCTTCGGTCTGGGCACCCGGGTAGTATAACAGCCCACACAAAAATATGATGAACTGCCTATAATTATGGAAACTACTTTTCTGGCTTCGAATACCAATCAAATGATTCAAATTATTATTATTATTATTATTATTATTATTATCATTATTATTATTATTATTATTATTATTATTATTATTATTATTATTATTATTTACCACATGATTCACCCTCTTTTATACTTATACAGCGGCTCGTCTTTGGTAGAAATTCAACTGTATCTAATTGTTCTCGAATCACTGTCCGGTTGAAAATTGTATGTTACCACTGGATATGAGTACTGAAGCAGTTTTTGTGAAACCACGTGCATCATTCAAACTGGCTGCCTTCAACGTTGGACAACAGATAGGGCTGGCTATGTCTTTGCAAAGTCTTAATATCGATGTCTGCTGTCTATCCGAAACCCGTATCCAAGACTCTGGTGAAGTACTACAAATTTGCTCTTCATCTGTCGCTTCGAAAAGCTTGTTTTACGTGCGCTTATCCGAGGACCCTGTGGCATATTCGTCTGGTCATGCCGGCGTCGGTGTTGCACTAAGCACTAGAGCTGAGGCAGCACTAATCGATTGGATTTTCATTAACAGTCGGTTATGTGCTGTTAGATTAGAAAGTTCCATCAAAGTGAGAAGAAATCGGTGTGAGAAACGATGTCTTTTCGTCATCTCCACCTATGCCCCGACAGATTGCAGCCCGTATGCAATCAAGGATGAATTCTACCACCAGTTATCTGTTTTTCTATAGAAAATGCGTTCGACAGATATTGTAGTACTAGCCGGAGACTTGAATGCTCAGGGCGGGCGTCTAGGCACAGAAGAGAGTCGTTTAGGTGGTCGATGGGGACTCGTTGGTCGCAGGTCAGATAACGAGGACCGTCTACTGCAACTTTGCACAGACCACAACCTGTTTCTGGCTAGCACTGACTTCCGGCACAATCATCGCCGATGTGCCACCTGGCGTCCTCCCTCTTCATCTCAAGCCTGGACTCAGATTGATCACATCGCGATTAGCTACCGCTGGCGTGGTTGTGTACAAGATTGCCGCTCCTTTTGGAGTACCTATCTGGACTCTGATCATGCTCTGGTCTGCGCCAATCTTACCTTACTTTTCAGTGGCCAACGAGGTGATCTTCACCAAAGGATTGATGCCAGCAAGTTGGTTGCAACTTCTGTTGTAACTAAGTATCGAATCGAGCTAGCTTCTAGGCTAGCTACCATTCCACCGAAAAGTATAGATGAGCATTGGTTGCAACTGTATGACGCTATGAAAATGGCGGGTAAAGCTGCTTGCGGCTTCGTGAAACGTCCCACTTATAAGCACTGGGTTTCTTCAGGCTTCTTACAACTCATCGAAGCTCGTCGGTCTACTCCGGGTGACCGTGAGTTTGACCACAAACGAAAGATATTACGTAATGAAATTGGGCAAAGCTTGCGTAAGGACCGAGAAGCCTGGTGGTCGGAGCGTGCTAATGAGTTGGAAGCAGCAGCTGCGTCTGGTGATTACCGGAAGCTCTTCCAACTCATCCGAGCCACTGATAGTAAGAAGTCTGATGTGAGTGAAACAATCTGTGAGGATGACGGGATGCCAGTCACTAACATCCCTTGACGTCTTAGAAGATGGGCAGAATTTTTCGAAAGGTAGTTCAACTGGCCTGTTGCTCCGGCAACATCGGTCAGACTATCCTGCCCTCCAAGCCCGCCGACGGCTGATCCACCAAATGAGGTGGAAGTCCGCAAGGAACTCCAACTCTTGAAGCGTAACAAATCACTGGGCCCAGATGACTGACCTCCGGCTCTTTTTAAACATGTTGGTGACTTTCTGGCTAAGGAACTGACAACGTTGTCTACAAAGGTCTAGAAACTAAGGAGTGTACCAACGTCATGGAATGAGTCGATAGTTGTCCCTATCTTTAAAAAGGGTTCACGTCGTTCCTGTAACAACTATCGGGGGATAAGTCTACTTCCGATTGCGTCCAAGCTATTGGCTTCCGTCATACTTCGTAGGTTGTTCAAAACCCGAGAAAGATTGATTCGCAAGGAGCATTCTGGTTTTCGCTCTGGTCGAAGATGTATTGATCATATCTTCACCCTCCGCCAAATGTTAGAACACCGTCATACTTATCAGAGTCCAACAATCGTAGTGTTTCTTGACATCAGGGCTGCCTTCGATTCGTTGGACAGGACTGTTCTCTCTGATTGTCTATTGAAGAAGGGTGTGCCTGAGAAGTTTATTAATATCCTAAAGGCCCTATATACAAACACCTCAGGCAAAGTGAGGGCATACGACCACCTCTCTCCATTGTTCCATTCAAGTATTGGAGTTGGACAGGGTTTCCCAATCTCACCATTCCTCTTGAACTTTGCCATCGATGACATTCTGGAAACAGCTTTGATGTAATTGGGTAATGGTAGTGTGGATGTGTTGTCTGGAGAAGGACTTTTCCACTTTGAGTGTGCGGATGATATTGTCTTACTGTGCAATGATACTCGAGACATACAACCCTCACTAAGTCGGTTGGCAATTAGTGTTCGTAGGCATGGTATATGATTTGCACCTTCGAAGTGCAAAGTACTTTTACAAGACTGACAGGACCCTGAACCTGCACTCAACCTGGGTAGTAAGCAGATAAAAGTAGTCGAGAAGTCCGTGTATCTAGGTAGCTGTATAAGTGCTGGTGGTGGCGTGAGTGATGAGATCAATGCACGTGTAGTGAAAGCCAGAGCGGCTTATGCCAATCTGGGCCACCTTTGGCGCCTTCGTGATGTTAGTTTGGCTGTAAGAGGTCGGATCTACAACGCGCCGGTGAGAGCAGTTTTGCTCTATGCTTGTGAAACCTGGCTTCTCCGAGTTGAGGATGTTAGACGAGTCTCTGTGTTCGATCATCGTTGTCTCCGAAGGATTGCTGACGGCCAGTGCAACACCATGTTAGTAATGCAGAGGTTCGGCATCGTGTTCGGGCACAGAGATGATAATGCAATCGATGTCACCATCTTGAAACACCGACTTCGGTGGCTTGGACATCTACGAATGTCATCCCAGAGAATTTCACGTCGCGCATTATTTGCCAACGCCGGGACTGGTTGGAAAATGCGGAGAGGTGGTCAGTGTATGACATGGTGTCGTGGTGTGAAAGAAAGCTGCAAAGGACTGGCTTCTGTCGATCCTTCACGACTCCCTGGTTGGGGTCCGAGAGATGGTGCTACACAGTGGCTAGAGACGTTATCAGATATGGCTTAGAATAGAAGCCAGTGGCGATCCTGTTGTAGGCTTCTTTTACTTTCTTCATAAAAAATGGTTGTATTTTCCTTAACTGAAAGATTTCTTCTGATTGTAATTTTCCGTTCCCTCATTATTACTATTATTATTACGACACTACCTACACCAACCTCTTCGTTATTGTTCTCTTTTTTTTACGCTCCTTACCTTTTTTCTTTCTCTTTGGGTTCTCATTGTTTTGTGTGGCGCATATATATTGGCGCTCTATTATGCCAATATTTATGTGTTCAAATAAATAAATAAATAATGAAGCCAAACTTTAAAACCTTCTGTATGTTTTGAACAATTGACCTCTAAAAATGATGTACTCATAAAATATCAAACAATACGGAAGAAAATCACGATTTAATCGTTACTTTTGTCTCTCAAGCACTATTCCAAAATATCCAGGTAGAAATGACATTTAAAACTTTGTTTCAAGTGACGTGTAATTAAACATTAGTATACTTACTTCTGTCATATTACCCAAAGTGACGGGATAATAAATTTCTTGTAGAGTGTTACTCCTGTCACTTTTTGTTGGACGTAGTTGCCCAGAAGAAGCAGACCAATTATCTAGAATCCTCGACAAGTATTCGACATTACTTAGGTCATTCATGACAACTTCTAAATTGCCAAACAGAATTAATAATAGCAGTAATGTAAATGTCATTTGCTATAAAGTATTGCTGTAAGCAAATTTACAGTCTATTGGTTTTAATTAGCTGTTTGAATGTTATTCGCCACAGAAGTCACCACGGAGGCTTTCTTTATATTTTAGATAACTGCTTAGTCGGTTGTTTTGCATGTCTGAGAGATTTTTCTCCGAAATATGTGAAATGGTTTCATCCAAAAATAGTCAACTAACGTATTTTTCAGATGGACGTAGAATTTATTTATTGTATATGAACACGAGATTAATATAGCTGTTCGACGGAGATTGTTGAATTTTCGTAGTATACATCACGGACTAACCTTAGTTACATTAACATCTGAAAATAGAAAGCACTGATCGAATGTTTCGTCCCAGTGCGGGACTCTTCAGTAGAGCTCATCCGTTGCCCACAGGTAATAAATGATGGTCACATACTATAGCAAATTGACCAAAATTAGACATGGGTGCTATTATCATTAACATTATCATTTTTAGGTTTAGAGTGAGCTTTCCAAGTGACTTAGTTTGAGTAACTTCTTGTACTGATGATCTTAAGCGTACTATTATTTATTTTATGAAGTCCGTCCTAGATCTCACTCAACCCAACTATTTTGACTTAACTGGATTAGCAAGGTAGTACTACCGTAAGATTGTTAAATAGCAAACCCATACTGTCCAGTCTTGAAACTAAAACAGGGGATTAGATTATAGTAAATAGAGAAACGCAATAAATTTTATTACCTGTCTCGCAGGAATCTAGGTGTAAAAGTGAGTCACAATGTTAAGACCAAGATTAACTGTCGCGTGGTCCTAGCTAAAGAGCTCCGACTTCTATGTGGGTAAGACAGTTGTTTACCAAGTTGGAGAGAAGTGTGTTCACCATGAGAAACGAAACCCTGGTGAGATTCTAAAGCAAAATATACGTTTGAACAGCAAACTCATGTTCAGTAAGTGACTCAGAAGTCTTGATGAAGTATAGAGGACAGCTTAATGTTCAGTTTTGGAGTTTTTTTTATTACTATACACACTGTGTCTTAAGAATTTATATCTTTCTACTCTGCTTCACTACAAAATGAAAAACCATCCAGAATTGACAGTTAGGTCACTAAGCGTTAATTTTGGATCAGATATATCCTTTGCTTTTCTTTCATCCAGGTCAGAATAGGTTGATTAATTTAGAAAATGGCCTTGAAGGCCAAAAACGAAATACCAGTGACACACACATTTTTAACAAGAAACAAACTACTCGAACTTACTTCTGTAAATACTGAATAAGTAAACAATTCGGCGAGATGATAATATACGGACGAGCCAATCAGATCTATGATTGAAAGATTTCGGCGTGAAATTCATCCACCCACATGTCAGGTCGCATTTTGACATTACAACTTAAATCAGTTCGTAATGAATACTGTGACTCCAGTTCTTAACCCTTACATCCAACGAGAAATCCCAATCCTAATTCCTTATACTAATTTGCGAACCTAATGTCACTCTTACAAGTAAGTGAAAGTTTTCAATATCGCTTTAGTATTACTCAAAATTCGTCCATAAATTGTGGTCACATTAACAACTCATATAGATAGATCATATCCAGCAAGATGATTAAACCCTAACTATTACGGAGAACCTACTTAGCCCTTAAATTTGTAGGCGGTCACAACTACATTTTTGCTCCTAATCCTCGAAGGACTTGAGTCCACAAAATTCTCATGCATTTGAACAAAAATTACGTTTTTTTTTCTAGACCACCCGAAATTTTATAGCAGATCCCTTGGTAACTTATCAGTGATTGTCAACAAGTATTTTTAAAGGGAAAGACGAAATACATGCACGCATCAGTGCATGGAAATGGTTAACTGATTTAATGTTTTACAATGACGAGAGCAGCTATAAGTGGGAAGTTGAGACAACAGTTGATGAGGTTAATTTTTAAAAAGAAAGAGAAGCCATAATTCTGTATTTAAGAAGAGGTCGCATCATTTTAAACACTGCGAATTCAGTAAAATTGATTCCAGTTTTCATACATATGTAGAATTATTTTGAAATGTATGTATGCGTTAGTAGTTACTAACGCATAATAATAGTACTTAAGTACTATCATTCAGATCTATTTACTTACAAGACGTAAATATTACCGCAAAAATTTTACTTCCATTATCATTTATGACTGGCACGTCATTAAACGATCACATTATCACAGTACGTATCAAGAATTCTTGAGATATATCAAGAAGAGCTTATATAAGCTCTTTCACATTCTTCATATATGCACTAACCCGTATTGTAGGCAGATACTGATTCCAACGACTACAATGTTAAGATCAAAGACAGAAAGTAGATCATATACAATGTGGAAGTAACACAGATTTGAAAATGATAACCTGAAAATCGACGTACGAAATTGATTGTTTGCGCGTTATTCACTTAGTTCTTCATACATTAAAACATTTAAACTCAACATTTAATATACTGTTTCGTTCCAGAACCAACAAAATACAAATTAATAAACAGTTATAAAACCCATATGAAAAGTATTTTAGTGTATTCTGAAAACACACCAGTGTTCAGTAATTCCGTCACTGGCTTGCATAAATCTATTTATTTCTTTGCACTAGCTTCTTTTTGTTTCGGTACGGTTCCAAGTATTTGCTAATGTCCAATGAGTATTAGATTAGCCACTTAAATGCACTGATTCCAGTCTGCCCGGTGGATATTTGTGAATTCTTTTATCTTGTGCATTCGTCTCGAACCATTAGGGTGTAGTGACTCACGTTTATCACGAGAACACGACTGGTTTAATTAAAACAATTATTATTATAACCAACTGTACCAGTGTTTGTTTTAACGTGCTTTTGTTTGACTGTGCTAATGACAGCTATTTTGTGCTTCCATTCTTTCACTTACACTTTGATTGTAACTTCGTGCGGATTCGGTTACGTTCTGTAACCAAGCTTGTATCCTGGCACGATCTCGGTATCCTTTCGATGCCACGAGATCGCCAGCAAATAAACATCGACTTGGTCCATTAACTGTCTTCTGATATTTGGCTTCTCGGAGATTTTATGGGTTTCTTTGGTTACGTTCAACCCTCGCCTTCTGATTTATTGTCACGTGTTTCTTGGTAGCGGTGTTCATAGTTAATCTCAACTCGACACCACGCTACAATTGGTGAACCGTATTTTGGAACACGCCTCAGCTTCTGGTCAAATCTTCCAAAGAAGCCAATTCGGTGAGTCTATGATTTATCTATCCACGTCTGTCGTATATTTTCATATTTTTTAATATGTAATATACTCGACGTGACGAATAACGATAAGAATAGTATTAATATAATAGACTCACATGTATGTGTACCGAATCCTTGTTACTTTTTATTCGCGTGACGATGAATTCCACGCTTTATTCGAGAAATTTCCCCTATTAAGTATTCTCCTCGCTGACCCAGCTGCTTGGTACGGAATGCATACGCACACGCATTACCGTCTACCACCCAGCATCAAATGGTTAAGTTGAACTGTTTCACTAACAACTTAAAAGTGCTCTACGAGCACACGAGAACGACGACTGGTACGAAACCTCACCGCTCGTTCTCTTAGGTATTCGAACGAGCTTGAAGGCAGATATCCAATGTTCCGCCGCTGAACTTGTATACGGCACGACATTGCGTCTGTCCGGGGAATTCTCCACACCACGGAGCAGACCTGATTTCGGTAAATCAGACTACGTCCATCGACTGTCTGCATTTATGCGAACGCTGTCTCCGGTGTCAACTCGAATACAACATCGTTAGGTCGCTCTCGAGAGAGAGTTATCTACCTGTTCACATGTTTTTTGTACGAGTAGATTCGGTACGCAAACCTTTGCAACAACCTTACGAAGGCCCTTTTCGCGTGATCGCTCGTCACGAAAAGACCTTCAAGGTTGATCGACACGGCCGCGTCGAGATCGTCAGCATTGATCGTCTCAAACCAGTACACGTCGATGACGGTGCTCTATCTGACAACCTGAGATTCAATGCTAGACCTAGCAAACCTACTAGCGGGATCCTCAAACCATCTTCAGGTCCCACGCTAGATACATCTGAGACCTCATTCTCACGTCCCAGTCAACAGCACGCGTCATCTGCACCGTCTACGGACGAGACGACAGTCTCACGTCCAGATCAGCAGACCACGCCGCCCTTGACTTCGGATGAGATTGCAGGCTCACGCGACGCGAACGAGACTGCCGTCTCACGTTCCGTTCGCCGAGTACGGTTACCCGTAAGCTTCCGCGAATAGTCGCACAGTCAACAACCGATACGGTGTAGGATTATTCCTATACTACACGTATGCCACACTCTTCTTTTTTTGATTTTCTTTTTGTTTCCTGAGCCCACGCCTTCGACCATCTCCGTTTGGTTCCGTCGACTTCAGTCAACTTTGGCGAAAGCTGGATTGGCCACCCACGTTTGAACAGCAAACTCATGTTCAGTAAGTGACTCAGAAGTCTTGATGAAGTATAGAGGACAGCTTAATGTTCAGTTTTGGAGTTTTTTTTATTACTATACACACTGTGTCTTAAGAATTTATATCTTTCTACTCTGCTTCACTACAAAATGAAAAACCATCCAGAATTGACAGTTAGGTCACTAAGCGTTAATTTTGGATCAGATATATCCTTTGCTTTTCTTTCATCCAGGTCAGAATAGGTTGATTAATTTAGAAAATGGCCTTGAAGGCCAAAAACGAAATACCAGTGACACACACATTTTTAACAAGAAACAAACTACTCGAACTTACTTCTGTAAATACTGAATAAGTAAACAATTCGGCGAGATGATAATATACGGACGAGCCAATCAGATCTATGATTGAAAGATTTCGGCGTGAAATTCATCCACCCACATGTCAGGTCGCATTTTGACATTACAACTTAAATCAGTTCGTAATGAATACTGTGACTCCAGTTCTTAACCCTTACATCCAACGAGAAATCCCAATCCTAATTCCTTATACTAATTTGCGAACCTAATGTCACTCTTACAAGTAAGTGAAAGTTTTCAATATCGCTTTAGTATTACTCAAAATTCGTCCATAAATTGTGGTCATATTAACAACTCATATAGATAGATCTTATCCACGCCTTCGACCATCTCCGTTTGGTTCCGTCGACTTCAGTCAACTTTGGCGAAAGCTGGATTGGCCACCCACGCTCTTGTCAACGTACTCAGTCGATATATTGGTTTCGAATGCTTGGCATACGCTTGGTCTCGAACTTGGTCGTTACGGTAGCTTCTGGTCTTTTGGCTCAACGTGCTTTCGTCCTACGTCAGCAGCGTTTCTAGTGCGCACCTCTACGAACGCCCTCTTCAGATTCTGGATACAAACCACTCTCGTGTAGCATGCCAAACTCAAGCAACAAATACAACACATCGCTCCTGGTACCGTTCTCCGAAAACGACCTTCGTTTGCAACCCGACGATCAACGATCGCTTTCCTGTTTGCCAATTCTTCCGTCCTACAATCGCTCGTCAGCCGATCAGTCCCACGATTCAAACCGCTATTTGTCGAAAGTGTAAACCCTTTCTAGCGGGGGGCTCCTGTAGTGACTCACGTTTATCACGAGAACACGACTGGTTTAATTAAAACAATTATTATTATAACCAACTGTACCAGTGTTTGTTTTAACGTGCTTTTGTTTGACTGTGCTAATGACAGCTATTTTGTGCTTCCATTCTTTCACTTACACTTTGATTGTAACTTCGTGCGGATTCGGTTACGTTCTGTAACCAAGCTTGTATCCTGGCACGATCTCGGTATCCTTTCGATGCCACGAGATCGCCAGCAAATAAACATCGACTTGGTCCATTAACTGTCTTCTGATATTTGGCTTCTCGGAGATTTTATGGGTTTCTTTGGTTACGTTCAACCCTCGCCTTCTGATTTATTGTCACGTGTTTCTTGGTAGCGGTGTTCATAGTTAATCTCAACTCGACACCACGCTACAATTGGTGAACCGTATTTTGGAACACGCCTCAGCTTCTGGTCAAATCTTCCAAAGAAGCCAATTCGGTGAGTCTATGATTTATCTATCCACGTCTGTCGTATATTTTCATATTTTTTAATATGTAATATACTCGACGTGACGAATAACGATAAGAATAGTATTAATATAATAGACTCACATGTATGTGTACCGAATCCTTGTTACTTTTTATTCGCGTGACGATGAATTCCACGCTTTATTCGAGAAATTTCCCCTATTAAGTATTCTCCTCGCTGACCCAGCTGCTTGGTACGGAATGCATACGCACACGCATTACCGTCTACCACCCAGCATCAAATGGTTAAGTTGAACTGTTTCACTAACAACTTAAAAGTGCTCTACGAGCACACGAGAACGACGACTGGTACGAAACCTCACCGCTCGTTCTCTTAGGTATTCGAACGAGCTTGAAGGCAGATATCCAATGTTCCGCCGCTGAACTTGTATACGGCACGACATTGCGTCTGTCCGGGGAATTCTCCACACCACGGAGCAGACCTGATTTCGGTAAATCAGACTACGTCCATCGACTGTC